CGGACTCTCACCTTGCCACATATACAGTACTCAAAACCTGAGGTGGTGCAAGGTTTAGTCCTTCAATAGATCAGGTTGATGGAAGACCACTCAAGTCCTACCAATGAAGAGATGTATTGGGAAGGGAAGGCATATCTTTTCGTACTTTGAAGGGTACCAGCACCAGGTACGTAGGCACCAAGGACCAGGTATGTAGGCACCAGCTCATCTTTCACAATGTCACTATTGTGCGTGTGTCAAAAGGTGGGTGCCCCCCCCGATCACCTCCATCCTACACTCAAAACACACTCCAGGAGGTTCAGCGCTACTGCTGTTGAGACACACATCGTGATATGTTTGGTGGTGCATGACGTCTAGAACAGCCCCAATATGCTACATATGATGCATAATATGTGCATTCTAAGTGACATGTGGATATGCTTCTGATGTATCGCAGAACTATGGACCATTGCAGTACGCAGCCTCACGCTGGAAACTCTTTTCTTCGTGTCCTCGCAGCAGAACATGGGTATTGTCTAGTTCTAGTATAGAACGGGTATCTCCAAAGCCAAAAGCCGCCTCTGGACAACTCAGCTTGGAGGTGGTCAAAAAGGACCTTTGGAAGCGAAGGCTGCTCTGTGGGCCCTCTGCCGAGCCGTCTCATTCGAGTGCTCTGGTAAGCCGGGATACTGCCTCAAAACCAGCAAATAGAAAACCTATGAAAAACCCTCGCGCTGTAACGTTCAAGTCATCTTTCTCCATGTTAAAGAACAAGGGCGAGACGTGTTCAGCAGGTCCCATGTGAAGTTTTTCAGCACTTTCTCTTGCAACTGGCTGACCAATCCCAGCAAGGCGGGCGTATTGCCCAGCCCCAGCAACCAACGCAGCTTTGATGGTCGGCACTTCTTCACGCGCACGAGTCGGTTTTCTCGGCAGCGCAGCGCCAGCGACGCGTCACTGTCTCAAGTTGTACACAGGTACAGCGAGAGCGCCATTTCAACAAAATCAAAGACAAGCATTTGCTCTCCTCTGCCTTTCAACTTCAGACTGGACACACCTCCAATTGGAGTTTCAAGATGAAGACCAAGACATGGTCATGTTGAAAGATGAGGACGTATTTGCTTGCTTCAGAAAAAGGATTGGAGCAAGGAGCCTGGACCCTTGCCACTTAAGGTGGCATGACCATCAGCAACTGGAGGCCAAATTATCCTGAGTCAGAACGGTTGGGTGTTGAAAGAACCGAAGCATGTCCCTGTGCGTTTCATAGCATCATCCCAATTCCACATCCTTTCATGGGAATTTACAATAGCATCAAAAGCGCTTATGACCTCACTGATGGCCAAAGGAATGCAATATGAGTTGAAACAACAAATTTGAACTCCTTCCAAACTAATCTGGGGATGAACAATTCCAAGTCTTCTACAAGGACATGATTCGACATGTGTTGTTTGTTTTGTCTCCTTCAATTCAATGTGTCCATTTCATGGTCATGGTCCGGCTCGCCCGCCGAATATCCACAAAACTGCTGGCCGCGAAGAGCTGCTCACGACCTGCTCACGGGATCAGCCCGATAATAAACCACGATGGATGTTGATGACGAAACCCAAACACACTCCATGGGACTGGGATATTTTACCTACATAGACCCCTTTTCAACCACCCAAATGTATGTAAATATGCAAGTCCCATGGAGTGTCTGACCAAATATGTTGGGGAATACATGATGTATCAATCTCGTCATTAAAAATATTGTTGTGGAAATGGAAAACCCCGTAGTGATGAACGAAAACAAGGTGTGCCACATATGCAAGCGCGTGTTCTCCTCACAATATGCGCACCTCGGTTTCTATTTGGTTGACGAGAATAGCAACGCAAATGACGTTGACTATGTTGATGGAAAAACATATATAATGACTACATTGCGATAACAACATGTTTTCAACCAAGAAAAGGATCGGGATGGATCGGGCCTCATTAGGTTTTAAACCCATGATAGCCTATCACCTTTGGCAAACCGCTGATGCCACTCTCGATCAGTGTCTACTTCCCGCATGCACACAAAGTATGTGAGGGGAATGAATATAGTTGTATATGTGTGGGTGATATCTTGCACCAGGGACGCGTGTGAATGCAAATATATATATATATATTTTTGAACACAAACAACTAATAATCACACGCCGGTGCTGCTCAATGGAAGATACCAACGGACCACGCTAGCCATCAGGATGTTGTATTTGGTGCATTGCGTACCAATAGTTGAATCCAACTCGAGTGAAATCAATGTTTATTTGGTACGAACACGGTATGCACTTCTAACAGTGGGACATTCTCACATGACCAAATTGGATGAACAACAAAACAAACACATGTAACGAAAGAGAGGCAGAAAGTGCCAGTTCCCATTTCAACGATGCAAACACAAGTCCAGCAGGATGGTTCTTTACCCTGGGCTGCCAACAATTGCCTGCTCAAAAGGTAGTTGCTTCACACTCCAAACACCTTCAAAATGGAGCTAGATAGTGTTATTTATTGTTCGGTTTTGAAATGTTTTGAATGTTTCCTCTGGGGCTGCACTAACTGGAGGTGACACGGGAACTCCCAAGGGGACGGAACACGGTCTTTGCATGGTTATTGTTTGGGTCAATGGAAGTGTTCAATAACTATAACGGGCAGTTCATCGGTGAGGGTCAGTCAGTTACTATTGGTTCCGGGCAAAAGTTCCGGCCAAATAGGAGAACAAATTGTTCTAATCATTGATCAACTAATGTTTCTCCAACAAAAAACGACTACCCCAGTTGCAAACAAACCGCTGGCAATGCCTTCACACCGTCCGTGCCTGCTGAACAAAAAGGTCATTCAAGCGCTTCTTTCGCACGAATTCCTTCCTTTCCTTGGCACGCCCCATGGCACGCGGGGACCCTTTTGATGCTGAAAATTGGAACCCGACCTGGCCGGGCTGTCTTTCACATCAGATTCAACCAAGGTTTCGGTGGCCAGGTAGATGTATAAAAGGTGTAGACAAGATGGAGCAAACGATAGTGACCCGGGCAAGTTGCAAACTTCCTCGTGCATGTTTTCTGAGGTTCAGGTCCAAACCTGAAACTGGAAGAAAAACACAGACTGACCAACATTGGACTGTTTGAAGTGGTACCTGGCACTTTGTGGGATATCTTTGCTGAACCTTTGGTTTTTCTGGTGCAAGTAATTGTTTGCTAAAAAAACACGTTTCGATTCTGCAGCTACCAGAATAGAAGAAGCACTCAGCACCGTCTTTGAAGCCTTGCAATGGCATGCAGAAACACTTGCTGGAGCTGTCGTCATCAATGTCCAGCTGCAGCCACCGTGTCGCACATCTCTTCACTTCATGTGCTTGCGTGGTCTTGTGCCACATACGACTTTAGGTCGCCTCAAAACTTGTCAAAACACTGCCTCCCCTCAACCTCGCTAATGTCGCGCTTCCCGCATGTGGAGGCTTTTTTCGCAACTTTGGTGAATTCCATGTTGCATTGCTTCAAAGCAGCATCCCTGCAGCATTTGGCCCATGGCAACAAACCCAAGCAAAAACGTCAATCAAATGAGTCCACGATAGTCCATGTACGGAACATCCACCAGAAAATATGCAAATTTTCCGGCAGCAGTGCCGTTGCTGTAGCATCCGCAAAGGACGTCATTTATCCCACCCCACTCAACCACAACCCCACCCCCGGCCTCCTGCAGCACGCAGCAATGTCGTTGCCGTAGCATCCACAACGGACGTCATTATCCCCACCCCACTGATCCACGCAGCAAAACGCTCTCCCCATGAGCCAAAATGCCGCGCACGCCACACGGATCTTTATAAAACACTCGTTTTTGCCGGGTCGTTCTCAATGTCTCCAGCATGAACAAACTCGTATTATGTAGCTCTATATAGCTCTATCACGCGTTGTCAAACATATAATATTAGTATATATTATAATATATATTAGGTCACAATTCATTCGATCCTGCAGTCGGAACCTGATTTGAGGTGGTTCCGCCCAGCCCCGGTGCACCGCCCAGCCCCGGAAAAGACCTGCCCCGGAGGCAGCAGGGGTGCCCCTAGACACTCCGCAAAACTGATAATTGAATTCAAAGCAAAACATACCCTAGATCCCGCTCTCAAAAAGGAACTTATCTAGCTACTTAACTCATCAGGCGGATCACACCTGGACCCCACAGCAGCGCAAACCCGCTGCGGTCACGCGCTGAAGAGTTGGCGCTCGCAACTCGGCACGACAAGCGACTTCGGCATCTCAAATCGCGATGTCGGCGATGTCCCTGTCCTTCTCCGCAGTCTCGACCGCCTTCGGCTCCTGCGCGTTATGCTTTTTCTGGGCATCGCAGCAGTCTAGGCAGCAGTCTAACCCAAAGGGACGTGGGATTTGTCTCAAGAACCCATGCCTGCTTCAATAGAAAAAGAACTGCTAGTGCACTGGGAGCAAAAATAGATGACACGCCACGCTTTGCGGGGGTTCTCCCTATCTTGACAGTGTTGACACATGCTTATTACATCTTATTACAACATTCACCCTAAACATCACTCATGAGGTCCAAGCACTTCCTCTCCTGATGAGAATCTCTGTGGTCCAAGCACTGCGAGTAAAGATCAAACGACGGAGCGAATCGACAGCGGATGGTCCTGGGACCTGGACGACCCGGACTGCTGAACGTCTTAGGTCTTCATGGCCAGCTTGAATTACCGTATTTCTATCAACCGGGATCAACCTCTGCGCGTTTTCCGAAACAAACCCACCCATCTCCAAAGAACATTGACAACGCTCCAGCAGAGAATCGTCAATGTATCGGGTTCGATCTGCCGAAATGCTCTAGCCGTGTAGGCAGGGCGGCAGGGTGGGTCCAATGCATTGAAAGAGTTTTGGACCAGTTCCAAACTCAGCTCCAGATTCTGCCAACCGACCGACCACTTTTCCACCACCATTGCGTTCTCTCACACAAAAAAGAAAACGGATCGGGTCGGGCGCCAAAACCGTCTGCTCCTCTGGCAAGTTCTCGAGGTCCGGTTGAGGCTCCAGGGCCTCTTTGTAGAGCCATGAGCACAACTACGGAGTAGAGGTTGGAGGACCAAAATAAGTTCACCCAAAAGGATGTGGGGAAACAATCTTGTATAAAGAACATCTTCAACAAATCCGTAAATGTGTTGGTGTTGGTGCGGTCTTTATGTGTTGGTGTGACGGAATGCATGATTCTGCTCTTGGAGGATCCTAAACGATCCTCCTTTGGCAACCATTGACCCTCAGTGGACCCAGCTGACTGGCTGGACTTGGTGTCCCGAATACACGTCTGTGACTTGGTTGACCATCCAGGTCGTGGTAAATAAGAGGGACCTGACCACAAAAGCATACAAAAGCCTTTTGTGTGAATGATTGGGACAAAGCCCTCAAAGACGTCCTGGCCAAAGCCCTCGCAGTCACAAAAAAAGATGTTAGGACATTGGACAAAAGGCAGCTGTTGGTGGCACAAAGAAAGAGACGCGCACATCAACAAAAGCACGGATTACCATCCAGGTGACGTCTTCCTCATCTGCATCAGGATAAGAATCCAAATACTTGAGCTCTTCGGCAGTGAACATGAACCTCAAGGCCTGCAAGGTGCAGGTGTCAGGCTGAATTGACTGGACTAGAACACACTTGGCTGAACATCCTTGTGCCAGGAAGGTTCTGTGGAGGGGATCAAAGACATGACGACTATAACTCGAATGCATTGGAGTTCCCCATGTTTTGAACTCCAGTGTCAGCGGTCAATTGGTCATAACAATGTAGAAAAAGATATATAACACACTCACTGACCTGACGCATGTGAAAAGAAAGCAATAGCACACTCACCATAACGTGACAGATGTGAACAAATGATAATCCACTCACCAAATCCTGATGACCTGCAACTCCACAAGCTAAATGTTGACCATCGCTAAGCCACACACCTAGGTGAACCCCCCCCGCGTGGAGGGCGACGACGGGAAAAGGGCCGACCCCTACTATGACATCTGGATGAAACACTCAGGCGAGTGAAAATCCCATAGATTGGCGGGTTGCTGCCGACGGATCATGTCACTCGGATTCATCTTGGGTCATTTCTGTCCTCCTCCCCCGGCCGAGATCTTGGCCCGGTTGGCCTTGCGGATAATGGCCAGGGAAGCCATGAAGAATGGGAACACCACGGAGGTCTCCTGGAAGGACAACAAAGCGCCTGATGTTTTCCAGAGCGGGAGAGTGAGATTTCGCTCACAAAGTGCAGCCCTGCGGTGAACAGTGAATATAAAGCAAGGCAAACAACTATTGGGACATATTGGGACCCTCTAGATGCAGCTTACAGCCCGAGATGAGATGATCCTCTAAAGATAGAATCAGATAGAAGGCCCATAGATTCTTCAGTACTTCCAGGGTCGGGGTATTTACCCAGGTGGCACCTGGCACTCCCTACAGTCCGGTTAGAGCGCGGTATTTCTGCGATGTTGGACCTCTACTAAGCAGTGAAGGGAATGCATCTCATGAAGCACTCGAACCAGTTGGAAACCATGAAGGTCAAGCATCTCATGGTAACCAGTGAAGGGAAAGCATCCCATGACCACTGGAACCAGTTGGAAACCATCTTTTGCTTTGGGTTTCATGGCAACACGATCGAATTCGGGGTGTGAATCACGTCCGGATGCGCCGGGTGACCCTGCTTCCATCCACCGAACCATGGCAAGAACCATGGCACCATCAAACGCGAAGCCGATCCCAGAAACCCAAGCAGAAACGGCTGGCAGAAAGGCTCCCAGCCATGGAATCATGTCACCTGCCTGCGTCGAAGTGCAGAGTGTGTGGCTGTGGATGAAGGCACCAAGTATGCCCATTGCCAATCCCCGCTTTTTTTGAGCGAGTCCCAAAAAGAAGAAAGCCGTCAACATGACATAACATCCCAGTAACATCCCTTGAGGGAACCCTTGTTTGATATGATACCATCGAGAAACAAACCGCGACGTGAATGGTCCCAAGATCTCCTTAATCGCCTTGAGGCCATAGAGGATTGCCAAGCAAATGAGCTGCACAAAGGTATAGAGGTGCACCTTTGCTTTGTGCTTTCAAGTCGAGTTACCCTTAGGCCAAACAAACATCTAATCTAGAAACTGCAAAAAAGGTGAACTATTTTTCTTTACCAAAGGTAGTCTACAAATTGCTGTAAATCTCAAAGTGGGTGTCTCCTGGCCCGTGGTTCACTCCATAAGATGCTTCTATGAATCAAATTCAACAAACAAACTTATTGTCTGGATGACCTACTCTCCTTGTCCATCTCGGACACCCGAAATGATAATACGATCCAAGTTACCTGGTGGTGGTCTAGTTACGCTCTTCGAACCCAGAACGCGATCCCGAGATCCCTATTCCCACGACGAGCTGCCCGCTTGACGGGCAATTTTTGGATGTAGGTGTAGGCGGGGTAGTTCCTGAAAGCAACACAGCCAGAACATCGGTGTTCAACGGCCACTGAAGCTTCATGCAGTGCGTAGAAAGAAGACCATGACCCAGGACCCATGGCCCGAATCACAGATATCCAAACAACCAGCGACCCCAATACAGCAAATAGTTGGGATCCCATTGGCCTTGATTCTTTGAGACCAGGAACCCTGATGTAGTTGCGATGGAATAGAATCAGGAACTGCTTTCCCTCCAACAAAGATTAAACAAACACACACACACATGCCACTGTTGTAGGGGAAAGTTCTCGCCCAACATCGCTCGACAAACTTCTTGAGCCAAACTCCATTCAGGAAATCAACATCTTTGTCGCGGGGCTTCAGTGCTTTCCTACCTACCATCTGGGAATTTCAGTCTTCTCGGTGACACAAGTACAAAGTTCCAGTGGCATATCCAGAGTTGGCTAATGATGGTTTCCTTTGTGCAGAGGTGTGCTGTGAATACTCAAAGTCACAAACGATGCCAACATCTGAGTTTCCCAGCATCAGGGAACCACTTGAGGACAACCCACCCCCTGGAGTGAGTCAGAAACGTGTCTTCTTGTCTTGACACTATCTATCAATCAAGAGGTGTCCAAGAGTGCAGTATAGCACAGCGCTGCGTTGCCACGCAATCTGCACATCGAAGTACAGCCGCTCCGACCCCCTGCGCATTTCAGACCACTAAAGTCACTAAAGCAAGGGGTTTCCTTCGCAGCGACTACCAGGACCAAGTCCGAACATGCGTCTTCCAAGAGCACGGTCTTTCTAACCGGAGCTCTTCGGGAGGGACCTTTTCGTGTGAGACTTCCTTCCAAAACAGAATCTCCAAACAGATTCGTGCGCTGTAAGGGTCATTGTTGTTTTGCCGCAGTGGTGAGAACTCGTGATCAGAAATTGCAGGTGTCCCCACAGTGCTTGGAGAAACACCCTGAAAATCTATTGAAATCGCTCGGTGCCACTGGCGATGATACTCTTTGGCATGGATCTAGTCCGCTAAAGCAATCCTCAACGGCCCGTGCGAGAGTACGACCAACGCTAACATCATCGCCACCTTGGTTCTCAACTTGCAGTCCAAGTTGCTTGGGTTCCCAGACCAACCACAGGAACAATCGATCAAACAAGTTGTTGCCTGCAATGCGGTGATTGATGAATCAAAAGACATCTTTGGCTGAAAAGCTATGATTGATGAGTCAGTGCAACTGCTAGAATGAAACAGTTGCCCTTTTCGGTGTGTGTCTGGCTTCGAGAAAAGGACGAGTTAGACTATTCAATTCAAGCTGAAACAGCCACACATGATCGAAAGTACATTGAAAGAATCAGAAGACCGGCGTGAATCAGAAAGACTGGCTCAAGAGATTGTTTGAGTGACATGTTTATAGACTTGGTTAATATTGGTCACCCAATGTCATCTGTACGAGTCTTCCCGAAGTATGAAACTACAATCAACCAGAGTATTGAATCAAGGGTCCCTAGACTCTGCGACGGCAGTTCATCTCAGAAAACAGCTTTTATTACGTTAATTCTCGAATTGTCGGTTTATTACCCGTGCCTGTCAAAGATGCGATACCCATGTAGAAGAAGACTCCTTGCAGGACTGAGCGTGGCAAGAACTTCAGCACGGGCGCTAAGAGGAGCGCGCAGCCAATCAAGACCTCACAATGGGCAGTGGAATGATGAAGGCTAGTCGAGTCAACTGCGGCAATCTATTGGGGCTAGTGTTTTGAATGGCTATTGTTGTTAGTTGTCTCGTATTCCACTCACTGACTTAAAGACCTCAATAAGAACCACCCCAGCTTCCATGACCATTCATGTGATATTTGGACCACCTCATGGTGGTGACCCCAGCTCACCCGTGACCAGGGCGCATGGATGAGGAAGTTCGTAGCTCGTTGCTCCACGACCTTCACCGGCACCTTGCGCTCGCCCTGAGGCAGCTGCTGCACCTGGCTGCCACATAGGCAAGTAGCTGCGCGATGTCAGTGTGTGGGAAGGAGAGCCATGGGCTGGCCATGCTTTTGTTGCCCTCGGAACACGTTTGTATAAGTTCGTTAAGGTGCTATTAACAATTGGTTGTGGTGCCCCTGGTAGCAACCTCTCCATGTCAGTTGCCAGCGAAACCTCTCCTCCAACCGATGTGGGCCGCGTTGTGTGAGCCCCTTTCAGGATGCAAGAGTGGGCGACAGGAGTTTTGACATATATTTCTATTAAGGCGGCTGTCTTTTGCTATGCTTTCCAGCTACAGTGGTCCTACTGCAACGAAACCAAATCTTAGATAGTTTTGTTGCGACAAATTCCTTTCCTTGCACCTGTTGCCATGCCTTTGCGTGCGTTGAGAAAAGATCAGGGGTGGCCCCGCATGGCCCCGCTCATGGCGCCCTGGTCGTAGTATTTTCTGAGATGGACCAAGTCAGGGCTCCCTCAAGCGTTTGCGGCAAGCGGCGGACGGCGGGCCGGACGGACGAAGGTACCGAAGATTGGCCCCGGTGCTCCGCTCGCCCCGTGTGTTTCCCCCCGTGTGAGGTTATGCTGGGGACCCAACGGACGGATTCCCAGGTGTCGTTCGACGGGCGATCACGCTGCCACCGCGTCTGTTGAAGAGAATAAGCGTAGGGCCCATAGCGCGCCTAGGATGGTCTTTGCACGGGCTTGCTGTACCTTTGCGAAAAGAAGCTTCCGTGTGGAGCACCCTCGTCCTATCATAGAGCCGGCTGAATAGAGGGACAGTGCTTTTGCGTGATGATCGTGATGTGCTACTGATTTTCGATGTGCGTCCCCAGGTTCGATACCAGCACTGACACAAATAATTGACTCTTCAGTCGAACCCTTGACAGTACTATAAAGCCGGGTCCATTTTCTGGCCCCCCAAACGGGGCCCGTCCCTGCTTCCTCAAGCTACCGCCCTGCCGGGGTTTGGGGCTCGGTTTTTGGAAGCATAAAGCTGCACAAGTGCAATGGTATAGTTTGATGATTCTTTCTGCTAATGTGTGGGCTACGTTGGGCAACACAGCGGCAACATAACTGAGTCCGACACACACGCACAGACACAGTACTTAATGCTCTTCATTCTGCTACTTAGTGACCCTGTCTTCTGGACACCAACAGTGCGAGTCTTGGGGATTCCCTAGATCAAACACAACAAAAAGACAATGAATAAATGCATACAACAAATATCGTTAACTAAATGCTTTCATAAGGCCATGGCTCCCACCTAGCCACCTCCATCAGTCCACGCCAGACCTGGCTGCTAACGACCTAAAGACCCATCTCTGCACCTCGTAGGTCGTGAGGGAGATCACCTGAGAGGGTTTTTTCTTCTGCATTGAAAAATAGCGATCGAAAGGGCTTTCTTTATCCATGTAATTATATCTTGATCTCAGTCATACAGCAAATTTGAGCGAACTTGGCAAACAAATCTTGAACATCAAAGCATTTCGTTCACTCATCTGCTGCTGACCCTAGCAAACTCACCAGCGCCGGGTCGCGTGGGTGATCGAAGGCACTGTGGAGGCCACCGAGAGCGGCAAACCCAAAATCGCGCAAACGGGGAGTGTCAGAGCGCCACGCACAAAGAGGTCCAGGTGGTAGCCAGGACCCTTCCTTGGAATCAGCAGGGAGAGGGGTGGTGCGGAAGTCAGTGGTCCCACCAAAAAGATGTATCCTAAATATTGCACTATCCTTTAGCACTGCCACTACCACTCAGAAACCAGACCTGCTTGTCCATGTCTGTCAACTTCCGCAGACTCCCTAAGATCCTGCAGGCTTGCTGGAGCTTGATGCCACCAAGACGCTTGAGATTGTTGGAGGGCCGGTTCACTATGACACTGGTCAAGTTCTGATCCAGGTATCCTTGGACAATCTGCCAGAAACCCCCCCACCGACAGAAAATCACCGCTACGTCCTCAACCAAGGAGAAGCAAAACAAGAGAAACCAGGTCTTCCTGTTGATGTCTGCTGGCCAGCAAATTCCAGCCGCAGCTTCACACATTGCAAAACATTTTCCCTCATCAGACTTCAGGATTGAATGACAATTGCGGGCATGTAGGGCCAAGCACTCCAAATTATAAACCCCGAGATAGACACATGAACATACATGAACGCTAAATAGGCTGCTGCAACACAACTGTAATCACCGGACAAAGCCCCCCTCCACAACGTGCAGAAAGTCTTAGGGCAAAAAAGGAACTGGACACCCACCGAAAATAATCTGCGAATGTGGTCTTCGAAACAGAGACAAATCTCTCTCCATGAAGGGATATCCCTGAAACGAATCTCTTCTTGGGGAGGATCTCTTTTTGGTTTGGTAATGCAGTAAATGGACTACGTAGTTCGTCAACCTCCTGAGCAAAAGAACCTGTGGACCCCTGCGCTCCATATTTCACTGTTGGTTGAAAGTTGAAACGGCCACCTTGCGACATGTTCCCTAGCATGGACATCGCCGCTACTGGGGCGGGAGACTTGACTTCTCACAAGTTTGACAAATTCAATCGGAGTAGGGGCTGGTGAACTTGAAATAGTAGGGACTGGCGGGACAGTCAAGCTAAACTATTTAAGGAGAGTGGGTTCGTTCAGCTTGTGTCACACAAGCAACGTCGACTCAATGGACAGCGGCGCAGCTGTTCAGCTTGTGTCTCTCATGGTCATTCCTTTTAATTTGAAGTTATTGCTGCTCATTGAGTTTCATCCCATTGAGTGAGGCACCTTGGATGTTTTGATTCACCACATCTCAACCAGTCTACAAACACAAATTCCATAGAACCAAAAAGCATCGTCTAGCCTTGGCCTTGGCCAAGACTACCTCACTTCTGAACACTCCCTAATCACCACCAAGGACCCCCCTCACCACCATTTCTCCATTCCCCATGTACAAACTCAACGCTGACGACCGCCCAAGTGCCAAGCACGGCGAAGCCAACAGCAGGCAGGATGGCGAAGACAATACCCCACCAAGGGAACCTTCGGCACCAAATGTCAAGGAGGCAGGTATTACTCCATGTTTTGTCTCAACAAGTGGAAATCGAAAAGTAGATTATCTACCTGTGTGGTAGTCTTAGGCCAAAGTTCTTGACCCGTTGGAGAATGGAGCATGCTGCATTGAGATAGACTCAGATAGACTGCGAGGCACTCTCGTCCCTGTCAACTGTAAGGAACAACATCCTTCACCCCAAAGCATTAAGTATTTAACATATATTGAACATGTCCTGGATGCTTTTCCATCGATCGTCCACTCTTCATGAGGCGATAGTCTCGTGATATAGTCATTTTCACTGCGCATGTAAGATTGGATGGCACCTGCAAGATCGTGCCAAGCCGTTGCCCGTATCAGTGTCCTATGGCCCCAAACCGCGTCTTAAACCACAAAGCCGTGGATGGAGTGTTTTTTTTTTTGTCGTGGACCAAGATATCAAGTTTTGTGAGACCAGTCCAGGGCTGGATGAGACCAGGCGAGGCAAGATAGGGACTTATATAGGCATCCAAGGAGCTCGGTCTCGATGCCCATAGGGTTCACGATCCAGGGGCGCTTGGCACCAGTGCTCAGGGTCCTGCAAGGAATTCGGCACGAATGGCAGCTGGATGCCCACGAGGAGGGTTTGGCCAAGCTCGCAAAATTAAGAATTCCTTCAGGTCCTGCTGTCATTTCTTGACAACCCCCCATGTGGTTCCGTCAAAGACTGGTGCTAAGGGACAGCATGTAGGCATAGATCCCCTACATACAGTTTGTGAAAACATAGATTTCCACTCGATATGATACCACTAAGACACTAAGGTTATTGCTGATCACTCCGATTTCGATTAATACATGGATGAGCCTTTCGTTTCCGATATCACCGTGGATTTCTGAACCTGCCTCCCAGTGATCTAGGCCATGACTGAGGGAAAAAAAACAACTATTGTGATACTTGTGACCCTCAATTGACCTGATACTGATACTTGCTTTGAACCATAATCTGGTTGGTGTTTTCAACCCACTTGAAAAGATTAGTCAAAGGGTCCAATCATCCCCAAGTAAGGGTTAAAAATAAATAAACATATCCGAAACCAAAGGACCGCTTACCTGGCCCTGAATGGAAACAAACATCATGTTGCACTTTTCGTCACCCACATGACATAGTTAGTTGAAGGACAACTCAAAGACTTCCATGTGCGCAAAGCAGGAAGATCCTTGGGTATACTAAGAAATTTGTTTCTTGATGGATCGAGGATGCCCACCTTCAGGCCACTCTCCCTGATTGAACCACGCTTTCCCACCGATTTTGTTGCGTGGGAAGGCACAGTGCTGGCGCAAGTTCTGCCTCCACGTTCAGCATTCGCAGATTGGTCTCCTCGAAGGCCCGCTGCACGGCGAGTGCGAGTGATGCGCCGTGCAAACGCAATGCACCGCTTTCTTGAGGTGAGAAAAGCATAGGTTCCAAGAACATTAGATTCCTTCATCACCGGTTCTAACTCTACAAATGGGAGTGGGTGGAATATATCATCTGTGATGAGGGTTTTGTGGTTTGATGATGAGGGATTCAGGAAAGAAGGAACCCAAAGAAGTTAACAAAGGAATGAACAGAACCAATTGAACACAAACCCAAACAATATGTTTCAGTATACAAATTTAATTAGTTTTTTTGGGGGTAAACTTTATTTAGGGTTTGGTGGCTTCATGGAGAGAACCCTTTCCAGAATGGTTTTGATATTTTTTTCAACTTTAAGTGCCTGCATTTTTTGTTGAAGCATTATTATATATTACTTTTTTTTGAAATAGTATGTTTATTGTTGTGTTATATACATATACATATATATATTACATATATATATATATTACATGTTAGTTATTGTTAACAAACAATGTATTGTTGTTTTAATTATATACTTGTTATTGGTTATGTTAATTTTTATAATTGTTCATGTTGTTTTGACCATGTGCTAACTTTATTTCGGATCCCTGTATTAATCAGGGCGCAACTTGGCTAACTTGATTTCGGATCCCTTTATTGATCATAGGTCGACATTACATATTTTCCAAGCTGTGAAGAAAGTGGGAGACAAGGGTCTACGATGTTTTGATGTCTCAATGTACAATTAACATGTTTCGCAAAACCCTATTCGTATGCACAGGGGTGGGTAAATGTGGGTAAGTACCCAGAAACACATGCCCATCTGCATTTCTTGGGCATTTGCCATTTGCGGCATTCTGAGGAAGTCTCGGGGAATTTGTGTTTCTAAAAATGAATGAAAGCAAGGGAGGAGGCTTCCCGCCCTTGCTTTAAGCATACGTGTTTCAAGTAAAGTGTATGAAAGGGGCGACACCAGTAATCATATCATCAATCATTTCGTGGGAATGAAATCAAGGAAGCAGGCGCCCCCACTCCCTGAATACATGTATGATTCGTTTGATCATGTATACTCCGAATCGATATGTGGTTAAACGGTTATCGCTTGAGTCGTAGTTCCCACTGTGTCTCTTGAATTAAAGGGGGAGACGTTTATCCTTCAGAACTCTTCTCACATGAAAAAGACGTTCTGTCCAAACCCGGCAGGCTCAGAAGCTGCTCTGCTCATCAAAGGAGTACAAGCTTCTTAGCAGCTACAAACATGTAGACTCTTGATTAATAAACCCACCCTCACTTGAATTGGACAACCTCTTCATAAAAGAGGTGCTTCAATTCAAGTGGGGTGGGTTTATTAATCAAGGGTCTACAAGACCTTTAAGAACGAAGCTTGTGGCTGAGTTGATGGACATGTTTCCCGGTACCAATCATTACCTATCCACTGGCCGTTTGTCAAGCAGGATCTTGCCAGTAACCTGTCTTCCAAACTGTCCACGCGAAGTCGTTAGAACAATGGCATGTTCCCTTTCATCACCTAAGTGTTGACCACTAGTTACGGCAGCACTTGCGCAACAAATGGTTCTCACTTCGTTGTCGCTTTGATGATCATCGATCACCGACTGCGTGGGATCTGTGTCGTGCAGGAGTTCCATTGTCTTTTCTAGTGGCAATGGCCTCCAACCTACTAGCGACGGCCTCGAAGCTAATACCAGAATCATCCCACGAATGATTTTTGCAGGAAGGCCCGTTGCCCTAGTCACCGCCCCTAGCTAGCAGGCTCGCCAGGCTTTGCGAGCAGCTTGCCTGTGGCCAGTCACTACGATAGCTTCGTTGCAGGCACAGCGTTGCGGAACTTCAGGCCACCAAAAAAGAACCGTACCATGCGTAAACAAAGTGCAGTAAGCGGAAATTATATAATATCATACAGTAGTTCAATCAAGTTACTGTATCGGTTTTGATAGTTAACTATATCGTTTTACAAAGCTCGTAGCAACCCACATCATGGGAGGGAACGTCGAAGAGTAACCTGAACAGTTTTGCCATGGTTTGCCTATTGTTCGCTTGAACATGCTTGAATAAAAATGATGTAAACACATAACTTTCAACTCCCCGAGTGAAAAGCGTTTGTTCTTTCTAGCCTGTACCCTCTTTGTCTAGCCTTCACCATTTATTTGTCCATTCTGTCTACCGCGTCTTCGACCGTTGCCCTTTCTTCGTCTCCGTCTTGTAGATGGCGGCCAACGCACTGGCCGTGACGAGCGAAATGGTCACCGCGAAGTTGGCCTCACAAAATGAACACAATTTGAAAACAAAAACGACGACGGACGAAGCGGGGGTGCAGCGGACGAACGAAAAAAAGAAACACACACACAATGCAGTCTGTGGGTTTTTAGGGTGGCCTTCAATTTTTGATGAGGATACTAGAATGCTCATGCAGTCAACTTCCAATATTTGATGCGAACTGCGAACTCGAAGCGAACTTCGGAACAAATCACGGACCACGGCCCCTCGTCTTTCGCCAACTCAGCCCACGGCAAACAAGTTCCGTAAGGGTCTCAGCAGCCAGGGAGTGCGGCGGAAGTGGGACAGGTAGATGGCGAGTCCTTGCGCAGCTCAGGACTCTCGTGCAGTAGCATGAGTGAGGATCGGATCAATTTCTGAGCAACAGTCGCTTACTCAGTCGCGTACAGGGTTGACGCATGATGAGGCAATATGATGCATATACTAATTTATCAATGTTTATATTCCTGGCACCTGGATGTACTTTAAAAATTGAGCGGTAACTGGATGCGAAAAAGTTGAGATCCGTGGCAGTTCACAACATGTGCGGTGGCTTTCCACCGGAGCCGTGAGAGATCAACCAGGAGCAGCTAGCTGACCGACGACGGTTTGTTCCTTTAACATCGCAAACGGGATCACACTGTATCTTTGGGTCAATTAGTTTTGCATTATTTTGCCTTCTCAGCAATCAAAGTAAACCTCTGAGCAAGTAGCACATCCGTCTGACTCCTTGAGCACTGGGCCAATCCTGTAGGCTTCTAAATTGATCAGACACCGCTGTGCCGCGGCCACACCCAGTCCACTCACTGACGCTGAGAACATTGCAATGAAGAGAGTCCGAAGGTGTAGAAGAAGAGCAATGCCTCGAACATGGCGCTCATCAAGGACATCGAACCTGGCACGTATGAGTCGACAGCGACCCGAGTCGATCGCACCTTAAGTGGGCCAGGCCAGTGGTCGCAAGCAGTCCGCTATGATGTCGATGGCCGGGAATCCTTAAAAATTGCTTGCCATGAATTTCCCAGAGCATTAGACATGAGGGTATTTTGACAACCTTGAGTCTCCAATGACCCTTTTAAATTCGCCCTTCTCTGAAAGAAAACACATGTTTTTGCATATTTCACGAAATGTTCCTTTTTTGTTTGTGCCCTGTCAGATCCTCCTTAGACACCAAAGGCGTCCAAAACGAGTCTCTTAGCGTCCGCAACGGACGCGTCCGGATGAAGATTCACTCTGTACCTTAATTGTTTTGAGTCCTCATCTCTGAAAATGCGTTTTTCGAGCAAAACCGCAAACATATTAGACCAAAAACAAGAAAATCATAGAAAATCAAATGTCTTTGGACGCCCAAAGGATTTTACTTTATGACCAACGGAGTCACCGGTGTTCGGAACGGAGTCTCAAAGCATACCGAGCCACTGGTGCCACCAAACCAGCCATCCGAGAAGTTCTGGATGATGGGCCTTGCCGGATCGAAATCCCGAAGTCTTGGTTTATCAAAGGGAAGCAGTTGAGGTTGCTGGGTCAGCAATTAGCACTGGTATTACTTTGAACGGCCATTAGTGTTGATCCTTTTCTGTGTCTGCCAGGGACCTTTTAAAATTTCAAACCTTTTATTTTCTGTAGCCTTAGAGTTATTTTTGTTACATGATCATTTTCATGGTGCTGGTATAGTTAGTGCTGTCCTGTATCACATTTTATTTTTCGCGTGCTCGCCCTTTGAAACCCACATGTTCATCACTCACTGTGGGAAGACTTGGATTCCAAGTTGGAGTGGTTGTTGGAATTGCTGGAGCACCCGAGTACGCACAACATAGAATTTGCAAACAAAACTGCATACTCAGCGCTGAGGTACCTGATAGAGAACGACGAAAAATGAACCTAGCAATCCCTGATGGATGGGGAGTGATCCCAACTTAACCACCTGTAAATTTCCCGGGTGAAACTGCAGAAGGTGAACACCATGTCCGAACCTTTGCCACACCAACGCCCCGACTCGCGCGCCGCATGTCGCAAACGCGCGGACCGAATGCCATCGATGATGAAGATCAAACTGATGAGGCCAGCAAAAATGTCCTCGGAGAACATGGTCACCTCAAATGTCGCTGAGTCGGGCACGGGTATCAGCAATAAGTCATCGCGTGTCACGCACGAGGATCAAGGCAGGGGACCACCAATGAATATACATGGAAACCTATGACCGGAAGGGTTTGGAAGACCATGCCGTCCAGTTTTTACCAGGTGGTTATGGCGGTAGAGGTGCTATTGGAATCTGTTGCATGCTATACATGACAATTTCTACCCAGTCCAACCAGATGGCCGTGAAGTCACCATTCACACGGTCATCGCCATCAGGTCATCATATTGGATACATGTCCCGACTCCATCGCTTTCTGCAGCTATAGGGTGTGTTGGATACAAGTTCAGCAAAGATCTCTTTTTTTGCGTCATCCAAAAAAGACTCATAAGCAACACATGATTGGGATTCTGGGTCAGGGTCCACTTCGGCACTTATATATACTCCATGATCGACCCTCCCAAGATCCTCATTGAGCGTTCCAGTGGATCTGAGGGTTCAAGCCAATGTTGTGCCGCGCAAAACAAGCGAAGCAAGGCTACATCCGCAAAAAGGAGCCAGACATGACTAAAGTGCGTGACTAAAGGACTAAAACTTCAATCACAAATGAATACAAAACATAATTGCCCACCTGTCAGGTGAGGGTGGTTAGATTTATGTCAGCCTCCTCCTCCTCCGCCACTCCTCCCGACCTCGCCTCCTCAACCGCACAGCTCCGGACGGCAGTGAGCCGCCAGCTTCGGACCAGCTCCAGACGTTCCCCGCCAGACCTCAACTGCCATCTCCAGACGGCAGTGTTCCTCGCCGGACCTCAACCATCGGCTCAGGACGGCAGTGTTCCTGGCCGGACCTCGACCGGCAGCTCTGGACGGCAGTGTTCCCAGCCGGACCTCAACCGCGAGCTTTAGCTGGAAGTGTTCCCACCGGACCTCAACCGTGAGTCAGAAGATATGCCAGATAGAACGCCACAAAGAATGTCAGAAGACATGCCAGAAAGAATGCCGAAGTAATGTTTCAATACATGCCAGAAAATTTGGCAGATTGAAATGTCATGGTGGGGATCACTCGCAGTACAGTAATTTGTTGTTGTTTCTTTATATGGAAGCTTCCAATTCACACTTCTATGAGTGGTGTTTCTGGGATCTACTCATGGGAAAAAACCTGAACTGAACACCACAAAAAAGAAACACACTGATCCGATCTTAACATCCTCACCAAGGTTCCAAGATTATGCCCGCACCCAACGTCCAACACACACACATAAGTTGAATGCTCTTGTGTAGGCCCTCTGTGCCACACATCAAACACACATCAAACGCCGCTTTTCACAGCTGGGTCACGTGCTTCATGAGGGCGCAAAGGTCGAAGAGCGCCACACAAATCGTGATAAAGGCGCACCACATGCAGGTCCAGAAGTATCTAGGTCTGGGCGTCCAACAAATCTAGATCCAAAACCATCCAAGCCCGAACAAACCAACGGTAAAGATCCTGCTGATTATAGAAAACGTCCCACATGAACTGACGTAATCTGTCTAGTCTATATGGCCAGGGTGTCAGGTGCGGACATCCATGCACGACCCATGCTTTACCAACATTGCGGAGGCGCGTCGCCCGTCCAAATTGAGGCTTCCAAATGTCGGGGGGTGAGAGCGTTCAGGGAGTCTGAATACACATCCTTTCATCAAAGGTGGTGTTTTGGCATGTTTTGACGTTCAGGAATCTGGTCGAAGCACCATTGATTTGCTGCATGTGTTTGTGCAAAAGAACCTACACCTACCACTTCCTTGTGGATGCTACAATGGCCACCCCACCAGAAACTGCCTGCCACAAAAGACCTCTGGTCATCGAAGGAAACACACCGCACTGTACGGCTGTCGCCGAGATCAGAGAGAGGAGCATCCAATGACCCAAAACCGGTTGCACTATACGGTGCTCCGCGACCGGAAACCCATCAGAAACCTCTTCCGGAAGCTACTAGTACCGCAATCCCAAACAGTCCGTCCATTCCCATCTCAGGGCCGGGACTGCAGCCCCTTGGCTCTGCGCGTGCGAAAAAAGGCACAAGGGCATGAACTCCAATTTCATCGCGATGCCCAAGTCATAGACGACCTCTGCAACCACACGCCGCACAAATGCGCCACGCGCTCTTCCCGGTTCCAGGTGAAGGTGAAGGTGAAGGGTCACAGGAGCAGGATGTAACATGGACACAGTGAAACGCAAAATGCGACACCACATGAGCAAAATCAGCGAACCGATGTTGAAAGGGTGAGTTGGCTCCAACTCGGGAGCCGCAGAACGAGTAACCAAACTTGTGAGGGTCTCAACAACATGTCTCAGATGGCTCAGTACCAAAGACAAGTCAATATATAGACTTGGAGTTCAAGATCCACAAGGATTCTAAGAGAGGACACCCATCGGGGCATTCTCCCCAAGGGCTTGTATTACATGCATATGATGAATGGTTTCCCTGAAAGTTTGTTTAAGAAGGTGTCTTGCGTCAAACTGATGAATCATCTGCATTCAAAGTTCTGAGGTTGATAGATGGACCAAGTTGCTGAATGTAGAAAACCAACAATCATCTGAGATCATCTGAGAATTGTTTGCGCTACTCCTATAGGCTTTGCTTGAAAAATATCAATAATTGCCTCTGCTGGAGGCTCAGCTTTTCTCACTGGACTTTGTGCAGCCCGTGGGACCAAGGTGTAGGCGAGGAAGGGGCCAGTGGCGCCCAAGATTGACAGCGGCTGCCCGGAGAAGGTGCCTCTGTCGAAGCAGCTTCTTTAGCTGCTTGATGCTGCGTGACACAGTCCACGGGCTGAATAGTGTGGATGGTCGGTGCGATTCGAGAAAATCGCATGCCCGGGTATCCCATGGCTTTCCAAGGTCGTCGTTGTGGTTCGCTGGTGTATACTTACAACATCATCTGCCACAGCTCCAGGATGCCTTTGACAGTCGCACGAAATCTCAACAGCAGCAGTTTGGTGTACATTCCCTACCAGGAACCGCTGATAGTGAAGAAATTTCAAGTCCACTACAAGCATCAAATGTGTATATATATATATTCTGTAATGTACAGTATCTATGAGACCCAATCTTCAACCTCCAAGCCTAAGCCTCCGACGCTTTTTGTTAGGCCCACCTTTTTTTGGGGACATCTCAGATTGCGTATCTTGCAGCAACTGAACCAATTGCAACCTCCTTCAAGGTCCTCATGAACCCTACGGTCGGTGAAGGTTCTCATTCCGGTCCAAGAGTCATCAACGCGGTGGACGCGGTGGACCAGTCTCGGACGGGAAACATGAGCGACAAAACGGCGAGGGAGGTCTCCACACCGCTGAGCCGCTTCGCTGAAAAGCACAGCGTTGTGGCTTTCTCCGAGCTCCACAGGAGCGAGCCCTAAGGTGAGAGCCGAGCCGCTGAACAGCACTCCACTGATGGCGGTGGACATGATCATCTCCAGCACACCAAATTGGCCTTAGTCAGTCTGGCTCTGAAGGTCTGTCCCCACAGTGGCTGAAGAATCTAGGGGGCACCCAAGATCCTGCCTTTAACCTGATCACCTCAATTGGGAACCGTGGCTCTGAAGCTCCTGGATCGTCCTCGTCTCGCGCGCCCTGAAGGGACCACATGGGGCCACCACCCTTCCGACAAAAGCCGACTGGGCACGGCGTCCGATGCTCGCGCGATGAACGAAAGGCATCAGTCCGAGATGCCATTAGTGCCGTCCAAGAAACGACTGCCAAACCTGGCTTTCGAGGTCAGCTGTGAGATCGTTGTTGAAGATACTAAGAAGAAAAACATCACACATAGCATGGGGGGAGGGGGTCATGGAGTGTGACAAAAGATCCAATACTATCCAGTTCACAAAAGAAAGTAACGGTTTTGACCCCTGCGACACCGGGAGCACGTCATGTCCATTTATTGCATCAAACGTCCCCTGTAAACGGGTACGTTACTTGCTTGTACTTGAAACCTCGCAGCTGCTGTGGGGTTTCAGCAAGAACACGGGCCTGCGGGAAAAGCATAAGTGCACTGCCAAAGCGCGTAATGGCAGGTGCCAAGGCGGCGATGAAGAGATAAAGGATGATGGAGGCAGACTTCCTGAGTTCAACAAACTCAAAAACAAAGGAAACATGACAGCTCAGCTGAACTAAATCTATCGGCTGACTGTTACTGTTAAGTCATGTTGTTTTTCTCTTGTGGACAAGGCACTACTGCGTGCACTGACCATATGCCAACTGCTACGTCAAGCCAATGAGCTAAAGACACTTGAAAACAAGGCCAATGGCCTCAACTCCGTTCACTTGTCTGAATCCGCCTCTCAATATTAATGCTATCTGGCTGGTGCTAAAACCACTGGTGATTGCTCGCTTCGCGCGACGGCCCCCCGCAGTTTCCATGGGGGTGGTGATTGCTCATTGCTCATTTGCTCGTCCCGAAGACATCGAAAAAGTGCGATAGACCATTATAATAACAATCCCTTTTTTCCTTTGCTCACATACCCGAAACCCACATTGTAAGGCCCAGCATCTGCATGTTCTCGGGACGGAAGGCATCTGTCCAGTCACTCGCATAGAACGGAGCGCGGCGCTTCAAGTCCTTTGCGGCGGCCACGAGGACGAGGGCTCCCGCCGCGCCGGACCAAACATCGTCTATCCCTTCATCAAGCATCAAATGCTTCCTGAAGGTACTTTGGGAAGAAAGCGAAAACAGTACACGTCTTGACATCTCGCATTTGGATTCACCTCCGAAAAAAAACCCGAAGTGTCTGTGCCTGATGAAGACTATACTCGCACAGTAGATGTAGAGGCCTGTGGCATAATAGAAGACTATACCTGAAGTACGTGGCCCCTCCCCAAAAGAGATCTCAAGTAAGCCATCTCAGTAGCTCAGCACCTTTATTCTGATAAACTGCCTTCAAGCAAACATACTAAAGTAAAGCTTGTGTGAAGACCATCTCACCATCGAAACCACGCACCTGGTGCATGCAAGACTGGGACTCGTGATCCCGGATGACCTGCCAACTCAGCCGGCAGATCGGATTCTCCAAACGGGCCCCTCCAACCTACGATTCATATTTTCTTTAAACATGTTAACTCGAAACACTGACCCCTCCATTGCTAAAGACTTAGGAGGGAACGCATTTACTGTCTATATTATCCAACATTGTTCATACCATCATAAACATTGATCTGTCTATATTGTTATTTTTTAAAAAACACCAAAACAAATCTAAAAACACTCCTTCCTCAGTATTTGCAAGAACCAACTTGCACATGTGTGCCAGGCTGATCCGAGGCTCAGCGCGCAATCCACCACCAATACGGCCTGCCGGGCGGAAGCGAAACCCACGCAAACCCCCCCCGACACCCGGATAAGGGCGCCCGCTTCTGAGCACCAAGGCGTCGTTGCTCGGTCTTCGCTGGTCTTCAAAAAAAGAGAGATGAAGAGAACCATGCCCTGCTATGCCGTGCCAATCTTTTGCAACCTCACAATCCCAAACCCCAACACCACGTGAAACCCGACCGGAGGAGATGCCGGTGCAGGACGTAGGGCATCCTAATCTGGAGATTCAGCAACCGACGGTCAATGCAGGTGCCAATCGACCTCACAGCTCTACACTCCGCACTGCTGTCAGGAGAGAATCTCATAGGAACAAACATCACTGGAGAATGTGCAGGACTTGGTCGTTTTCCGCCGTGGAACCGTCTATGTGGCGATGCAAACCATATATATATATATAATGTATATATATATATGTTTTTCTTTTTTTAAAGGGGCGATTGCTTTTGAACCACGCGGCCACACTCATAGACGGATGAGATCTGATGATCTTCTTGCAAAAGCACTGGATTTCTGAATTCGTAAACCATCCAGTTGTCCCAATCCATTCATCCTTGGGACCCCGTACCGGTGAACTCCAAAGGACCCAAGTCCTTATGGCCGCTGGTCACCTTGGCACACTGCGAAAGTGGAGAGGTTGGAGCAGGCAGTAGAGGACCGGGCCCCTCAAATATGAAGTCGGCTCCTGACCTAAGAGAATAGCTACGGCTACTACGGCTACGACTACAGTATATGTTTCTCATTGCCAAGAGTAAGAAAGCAGGAGTAATGTGTCTAGGGCTACGAGTACTCAGGGTTGGTGGTATGGAAACATCTGGACATCTGGCATTCCATGTGCAAAAGTTCTCCAAACTTCCAATCAAGTCACAATCATTCGGGACTGACTACGGAGCACTGCCGCAGCCTCAGACATGCTTCCTGGCGCAGCCACAAAAAACAGCGTCGTTACACGTGTGACTGGGGCTGTGAGAGGGT